GAGGGCAGCCAATGTAGAAGTCAGTGTTGCATGCTCCCAGACGAATCTGACACCAATTTGCTGTCCCAGGAGGGTAGAAGGCTTGATGGCTTGGGCAGGAGTCAATCCGAGATTTGGTTCCCGGACCGTGCGTGTGGTAAGCGTAGCACTTGCCACTTCACTACCTCCGCCTGGGTCTAAAATATTAGGACGAAATCATTCATTCCATGCTATCAGCGAATACTCAGCGTAGTGATTGATTAGATAACTTTTGCATTATTTCGGAAGATCTAGGTTGCTGGGACAGAGGTACAAGTAGCATTCTGCACTCGCGGCCACTGAAAAATCGCTGCCACCGAATTCGCACGCGTTTACTTTAACATGTGACGTTGTTCATGCCAAGTTATACCGCCTCCAGCACTGCCCTCGTAAAAGATGTTTCACCACACTGCTCGCTCGCTTGGCGTGGCACATACTAAACATAGGCAAGGGAGGGGGCTCCGAAAAGGGCCTGGGTTACGGTAGGAAATCTCTCTAATGGTAGAGATGTACTAGCAATTAGCACCACTTATCGTGTGCACAGACATCAGATAACTTCGTACTAGCAATTAGCACCACTTATCGTGTGCACAGACATCAGATTTCGACCCCCTCCCAACCCTTCAGAACCAATGAAGCCATCCACCTCTTCGGAGTCGGATCCGTGGTACTTGGTACTTATAACCTGTTCAGGAGGACAAAACACTGACTTCCGCATCGTCTCAACTCAGGAAATCGGTGTCTAGGCCAAATAATAGTAATGTCGTACGATCCCAAATGAAAGGACATCCGCACAGCCCAAAGGGATTGAAAATCAATTTTTTTCAAAGCTGGGTACCACCTCTGGCTCACATCGGTGCGGCTCAAGCGCCAATTACATATAAATTTTTTACTGAAAAGCTTACCTTCCGCGGAGGGTGTCGAGTTTCCATTCAACTGGTTCTCAATTACGTGTGCTCGGAAATGCGAGCGATGAGACTCTAATGGAGTCATGTTCACATTGATCATATTAGCGAGATCTCCGAGGGTAGCGAAATTAAGCAGAAGAGCTTCAAGATGTGCGAGAACGCCGGCTCCTAAAGCAGCATTTTCGAAGAGAATAAAGATTTGTGGGTAACAATACTTCAACGAAAGGTTTCAGCATATGATTTCTCCCACATAGAATGGCGTTCGCCATAGACATAGTCATAATGCGTACCGTTTCCTGGTCGCAGCATAGATGCAGGAGCATGAGAAGCATCCAGGATTGTCGTCACTCGGGTATCCAAGCCGTTAGTCATACCGCTTGCCATCTAGAGGTCCAAAAAATTAGCAAAAATGCAAATGACAACTATATACAGCTAAATTTCGTCGGTATTGTCGGCAGATCCTAGAAAGGCATAATTTTCTCATGGCAAAGGTAAACATATCCAGCGTCACAATTCCGAGCAACCCCAGCAATGAGTAAACCTTAGCAACACGATGCGTGAAAGACTTCGCTAATGTTACAGCCCTGTTCGCTGCGGGATGGCTTTGGCACTGT